GTTCCTGTCAACAAACATAGATATTGTCTTTTCTCTCACCAAACAGGTCATTTTGGCCATTTCAGCAAGTTCCATCATCTTTATCAACCATTCCTCCATTGTAGGTGTATCCAAATCTTTCCATCTTCATGCATACAATAACCTTTTTTTTCTTTTTTTCCTTTGTACACTTTAGTTTTCTCTTTTATTTCTTCCTTTTTTCCCCTTCTTTTAGTTTTACTCTTATTTTTAAAACTTTCAATAAAATTATATTTTAAAAAAGAGGAAGTCTTACGTTCACTTTAGTAACATGAAGCAGGGAAACTGAAATTGTGCCTGCAAGACCAGGTACTCATGTGCAATGTCTTAATGCCTGGTTTCCTCACATTGCATTTTTAACAGTGGTTTGGTAAACAAGCCATTATGGCCTATCCCATACACAACACTAAGCCATTGTCCTGGTTTACAAGCCAAAGTGGCTGAGTCATATATTGTGCTGATCCTAAATTAAACACACTATATTTTGGTTTAGTGATTGTATGAAGATAGCCGTAATGTAAATCCATATTGCTGTAAGAACTCTTGTCTGTGGCATGAGAAAAACTGGTAAGTTCATCTATATAACCAGACATCTACCTGAATGGACTGCATTTCAATTACCATTCATTTATGTGAAGTGGATCCCAAAGGGAAGACTTCCTGACTTATTTTAGCATTTTTAAGCATCTTAAGATTCAAAATTGCAATTAGTATTACATAGAGTACTTTATTGTTTTAAATATATATTTTTTTAATGGTGTTCCTAATAATCATCTTTTGCTTACTCAGGAGTAAAGAGCTTAATGTATTTGTTTTGAATCACTGATTTGTCACATCTATCATCATAGAAAATCTCTCATAGAATTCAGTTCGTAGAATCTCTCACGAATTGCTGAATAGTAAAGAGCATGATTTATTATTTACTAATAGTAAAAAGTAAAGAGCATGATTGAAAGGGGATATTATTTTATTTGTGTTTTAAATCTAAATTGTATTTATTGTACAAGCTATCTAAATCACTGTCAATAGTTGTTGAACCAATTGCTGATCATCCTCTTTTGCACACTGGTTGAAGGTATTGTGAGTTGTAAAAATACTTGCAGTGAGTTAAAGTAAACATATCTGGATTGCGGAAGGCTAAGTTAACCAATGTAAATTCTTCAGGCAAGACTTGGAGAAGGATAGAAGCGGGGGGGGGGTTGTTATAGGAAGAAGAGAATTATGTATATAATCTTATAGGGGGTGGGTAAATATTAAATTTGCCTGCACTTGTTGCAAGGAAAATCGGGAGTCTCTTCTTTAAATATTATTTTTTCTATTTCTTTTCTTTTCTCCTCCTTTTTCTTGCCTTTTCTTTTTGCACTTTGTATTTCTTTCTATTTTCTTTTTTCTTTCTGATTTCAGTTTGTATTTTAGTATTGTTAAACTCTTCAATAAAAAGTGTTTTAAAAAAAGAGAAGGATGGAAGCTGGAATGAATCTCAGTAAATGGGCAGAGAAACAAACCTTTATTATATCCATCAATGCATCTATATAGACTATCACATATACAAAGGAATAAGGCAAGATAGTGGGGGACGCGGTGGTGCAGCGGCTTAATGATGCTGAAAGTTGCCGGCCAGAAATGGTCGA